CGGCTCCGGCCGCGCCTCGGCTCCTTCAGCGCCGAGTTGAAAAATCCCGACTTTATTTCAGCGCGATTAAAATGGAGTCCTGCTTTTCGGTCCGTTTTATTTGTCGCTTCGCAGCCGTTGGGTTTGTCCGGGTAACGCGCTCACTTTTCATCAACCATTTTATGCTGCCTGTGGTTGGTGGGCTGGTTTTTCGTTCAGAGCAATTTCGGTAAGGTGTTTTCTTGCAGAAACTTGCGTTGCTATCCGTGTCTGGAGACAGTCTTGCTGCAAAATGGTATTTCGGGCTAAAACTAAAGGTAGGCTAGGATTTTATTACACCTTTTGCCAAGCCAAAAAACCCCCGCATCTTAGGTCCACCGCTAAATTTACAAACTGTGGCACAGACTCTCTACTCTTGACTTTTTTTCCCCTACCAAGTTGGACTTTAAGCTTTTTACTCTCCATGCTTTGGAAAAAGTGGGAGGGTGGCTACGGCTGGTTTTATACTTTGTGGCGGTAGTTTTGCCTGGCTGCTGTTAGCCAAAGGTAGTTCCAAAAATCTTACTTCAGTTTTCAAGATGTCTGATTCCCGTGTGTTATTTAATGGAAACTTTTCCTTAGAAATATTAGCAATTAATTGCGAATCACTTTGGCTCACAAGGTCTCTGCCAGACTGCTTTTGTAAGAGTATTACTTACTCCAGAGAGTCATAGAGAATGCTTAGTATTTCCTTCTTTTTTTTTTTTTTGACTATTTGTTCTAAGTGACTGAACAAGGGGGGGGGAAATAAAGATTAGCAAGATTTAGAGAATTTCTAGAGCATTTCTCTCATGACTTCGGTCCGGTGATCTAACGTGAGCGACAGCTGCTTTTGCTTTGCAGGTGGGGGCTGGTACACAACACTGTTGGCTTGTAGTTTCTGAAGTGAGGGAAACAGCGTTTCCAAATTTTTTCGCTCCAGGAGGAGTGAGAGCAGGGGCGCCGTTCCGACGCGGCTGTTTCGCGTGGGGATAACGACGTGTTGTTCCTTGCGCAGGTGCCGCTGAAGGTGATGGCAGCGAGCCCTGGTAGCGGTACAGCGCGCCAGCTGGACGGGCTGTCAGTCTCCGTCAGCCGTAAGACTGTGTGTCCCAGGTACCTTAGGCATCCTTCCTCTGTGCCGGCCAGCTTGCTCGCAAGTTGAGGCTGCCTGTCCGAGAGCTAACCTGAGATGCTCCTTTACTCTCTCTCTCCCTGCTTCCATATGACTTCAGTGGTCAGAAGCATCCTCGACTCTTTTGTCAAATCCCCCCCTCACCCCTTTTTTTTTTTTCCCCCTCACGACAGAGGTGCAACATTGGCTTTGGCATTTGCTGTGAGTGCCTGGTCAGCACGCCTGATCTTTGCCTCGACAGGATCGTTGCGTCTAGTCATATCTTTCATTTCAGATAATCACAAAGGCTAGAGGAGTAGATGTGGTTGTTAGCTTTATTTTACGTTGGCTACTGCCCATCAGATAATTCTGAGCTGGAAGTTTCCTAAATTGTATTCTCACTGATAAGTCCAATGCTTTCAACAGTTTTGGTTCAGGAGATGAAAGGAGAAACTGCTCCTGTCATGCCACGGAGCTGGGAATCCGGCTCTGGTGTGCAAGGAAAAGATTAGATGATGATAATGGATTCCCCCAAGTCTTCAAAAACAATAAATCTGAAATGAAGCTATGTAGTATAGCCAGGGCCTTGGAGGCAAGTATCCCGTTACTAGACTCAAGACGTTTGTAAGAGGCCGTGCACTTACAGTTACTTGATCACTAAGCAGTTCATGGAGGACGCAGCCGGCTGCAGTGAGTTGTGAGGTTAATAGAGTTCTGCTGTACACGGTCAACTCTCGGTTATTCATGGGAGATTATCTGGGTTGCGGATTAAGCGTGCTGGGTGCAGGGAAGGTCTTCGCTGTGCTGCTTTTGGACTGTGTAGCTGCATGCTGTGACTCGTGCTGCCCGCGCTCGCCGGTCTGCTGGGTCCCTCGTCCCTGGGCTCGCTCTTCGCTCCTGCATCGTCACCGTGTGTTGTTGTAGAGTAATTTGCGTGTGTCTGGTATTGTCGCTCTTCTACTCTACCTTTACCCCGAAAAAGCGGTAGACGATCATAATAACATAACCTGTTTTCTTTCATTAATATGACAAGGCAGAAGTATGCAAAGATGAAAGCAGCAGATTTAATAATTGCAAAATTAAGACCGTCTGTGCAAACCTTGGCTTTGCATCATGATTTCAGTATGACAGTCTAATTATGCAGTCCCATCAGGACCCTGCTTCATTCAAGGAAGGGGTAGTGGTTGAGATAATTTTTTTTGAAGTCTTCACAGTTCATTATGTGGTCCATGTATTGTTTCTGCCTCCATCCGCGTGCCATAATGAAACAGAATTTTTAATTTCCTCTGGGCTTCTCTATGCAGCTCTGACCATGTAATACGGAACTGTCATTATAGCACCCCTTTACGGTGGAAAGATGTTCCCTTTTACATTTTGACAAATTCAGCTTCAATCCCCGCACAATTTTCCCTCAAAGTGTCAGTCAATTTTTGGCGTCATGATTGAGAAACGTAGGCTGATTTTCCCCTGTCCCAAGAGGGCGTCTGTTTATGCTCTTTTGGGTGGTGTTTTAACATGTGCATGTTCAGAGCTCAAACCCATGTGATCGAAGGGTTCTAGACTCCCACGTGGGAATTGGGAAGGTGGAGAGCATAACCGCTGGCCAGATGTGATGGCTTTTCTCCATCTTGCACTGTAACTTTTCAGCAGGTATTGGGATGATGCCTGCAAGGTGGATTCACGTTCTGTAGCTGTGCCTTCCTTTCCTATCTCTTCCATCAGACCAAGCAGGAATTCCGTATATGATAAATTAATCTTTCCTGACCAAAGCGCATCCATTTTCTGCATTGAATGAGGCACAGGTCACGGGGCGGGGGGGACAGGCTAATTTAACAGTGTCGCAGTACACAGGGAAACTGAAATGTGGTGTCACAGAAAGCCTCATTTCTTAGATTCCCTGTCTTCAGGGTGGTTGAATGATATTCCTAGTCAATTTTTAGTTTTCCAGCTAATTTTCTGGGTTACTTCTCTTAACCAAACTGGAAAATCTGAGCTGTCACCATGTAAAATTATACCAGCAGCTCCACGGGATTGTGCACTCACCCCGCTGACTCCAGCCTTGTGGATTGCCAGCGTTCCCAATGGCAATAGCTGGTTACCTTCATCTGCAGACATGAACGAGTGTGAGGGGGCAAGACAGTTTGTGGACACTTTGTCCTGAGCAACAGCAGAGGAAAATCCACAGGGTTTACTTCAGATCTGAGGGCTCTGACTAGCAAATTCCTTCTCTGTTTCTGCCTTGCTGAGCGTGCACACTTTTACCCTGTCAGCTCCAGCCGTTTTATCCCTTTATCCTATAAACTCCTCGCTCTGGTCTCCACATATGGTTGTTTCTGACCCTGAAATTCTTTCTTCCATCCATTTTCTTTGCCTCGTTTCCATGCTTGGTCTCGTTGTCCGGTAGACCCAAGTCCTCTTCCTCCTCTTGATGGTTGCTATCTTAGCATCTTGCTGCTTCATCCCCTTGTCCGTGTCACTCTAGTCTCTCCAGCATTGGTGCTGTGAGAAGATGAGAGAAAAGGAGAAGCTGGCTCTCCTTATCTGTGCTTTTCTTCTTTAACCTGGGGTTCATTATAGCCAGCTAAATTAAACTAAAAAAATGTGGCATAGCTGTCTCTAAAACACCGTCTTATGGTATATTGGTATCCTGGTTTAAGCCGATGCTTTTTCCCCTCTGGCATAGGTGAGCCCCAAGCGGCAGAGCTGGCGAGTTGGTGGGTTGTCAGGTGGAGTTGCCAGAGGTCAGGTGTCTACAGGGCATGAGAGTCTTTCAGGTAAAAAAACGTCTGTAGGGGAGCTGGTGGAGGTGGTTGCTGTAGGTCTCGCTGGAGCGTGGTTTCCCAGGGCTGGAGCTCCTGCCGCAGCAGCCGAGGGGTTGTGTGAGCAGTGCCCACCGCGCTGGCCGGGCTCTGAACTTGCCTGTGGTTACCTGGGTTTAAAACAGCCGGCTGTGCTTTTGCACACTCTTCACCCGCGTTTCACAAGTTTTTAAGACTTTGATTTACTTTCAAATAAAAATGCTAGTGTAGGACAAGTGTACGAAGAAGAAAATCAGTTAGCGCAAGAGTGACTAACATATTGAAAGCCGTGACTGGCCAACAGTTAAGATTTACAGAAAAAAAAAGATTATGTCCTGGAGGTGGGATAGTTAAAGAGGGCCAGAAAATTTGTCAGTGCAATATTTAATTTAAAAATGTATTTTTAGAGCATGAATTGCTGTAGTGTTTAATGGATTAATATTTGCTGTCAAATGTTCCCTGCTGCATATAACATCCAGTTCCAGTTTGGCACTCTAGCGATGTTCAGTATTGGCGCCTTCTTATTACTTAGCTTGAGGAAGCCCTGTTGATATCAGTGAGACCACCTGGAAAATTAAGTTTCTATTCTGTTGCAGTGACTACAAAATTTAATACCTGTTAATTTTCGAAAGGAAAACCATTTTGCTTCATAATTCCATTGAGTTCTTCTAACTGCAGAAATCAATTGAATGCAAATATCACTGTCTCTATCAATGCAAATCAGGTTCGAAAGGATTTTCATGTTCGTTTTAGGATTTTTTAAAACTGTGCAATTACATGCTTTTATAGCAAATGCAATTCATGTTCTACAAATCTTTGCAAATGGAATCATGTCTATGGTATTACTGAATAAAATAAACCCTATCCTTTCATGCAAGCAAGTACACACCCATTTAATTTTTTTTAACAGTTATTTGCTATCAAAATGGTTATCAGTGCCCTGATGGCATTCTGTGTTCATGTGATTAGTCATTTGCTCAAGTGTAGCGCTTGCATGAGTGAGGGTTAGGCTTGATGTTTGTTAGGTTTCATATGAGGAAATACAGGTTTTGAATTGATTGCTTTACTTTGTCCGTACTCATCTCGTATCTTCCTCCCAGTGATCTAACAAGTAGTGACAAAACGATTTCTAGTCCTTGGAGACATTTGTAAGTTTTCTTCAGCCTCGCTTACAGCCTTGCATATTGAGACATCCTTTGATATTAAAGTACCATGGTGACTGGCAGATGTCCATCCTTCTCTGCTTTTCTTCCTGCAGCATATGTCAGGGAGAAAAATAGAGGTAAACCTTGCATCCAGCTCAGGGTAGAATACTCCAGCTAATCTTCAAGGTGTCTAAATTACAACAGCATTAGTAGGGCATGGGCTTTCTTTAAACAGTTTTGACAGAAATTCAGATAATTTCAGAGAGGCCTCTTGGAGCAGTAATGTAGTCACTGGAGTGGGTAATTCTGTTTTGAAAGCTTGTGGGATCTTGACTAGAGCACTGGCATTTCCCAGTAGACTTCAGTGACATTTATCTTGAGAGCATTCACTTTAACCTTTATCTCTTTGTCTCTCCTGCAATGGTAGAGCCTATCAGTCCTCCTTCCAGGGCTTGAGAGGGATATTGCTGCTGTTCCTGTCTTGAATTCCTGCTGGGAGAGGAGGTAGCTTCAATCAGAGCCTAGCTGTTGAGTGTGCCTGGCGCTCCCCGTCTCCGCTTCCGTGCTACCGATACCCATTTTGGAAGCAGTGTACAGTCGAGGTCTCTGGGTACTGCACAGATGCCAAAGATGGCACGCGGGCAGGGCTGGGAGCCAGCACAGCATCATGAAGGAGACATCTGTTGGAACCAACAGCTCCACACTCAGGAGCTGCTATCTTGCAGAGGTGCTAGGTACTGCAGCTAGGGTGACTGCGTCTCCCGTTTCCCACTGAGTTTCTACCAGCTTCTTTAGCCTTTAGCATGGGAAATAAAAATACTGTCTGTCATATTGAAACTTGGGAAGGATAGACCAATGACACAAACATCCCTAGCCTTGAAACTAAAAGAGGTGCTGATACCACTTGATTCAACCTTTTCTCCTTTTTCTCTTCCCTTCTTGTGCTTTTGGACTGGGTCTGGTGGCTAGCTGGCTCTGAACCTGGGCAAGTCCGGCCTGCGGTGTTTACATCTGTGCTTGGGCATCTACCGCTTGCCGTG